CTAATGATGGTGAACACCTGTTGACTGAGCAGTATGACAGCTGCATGGCCGAGTAGTTGCTTTATATTATTTGGTCAGATCAGATTGGCAATCTAAGGTAGGTGAGATAAGCTGCTCACTAGATCGGTTCAAGCGTACCAAGCAGTACCTGTATACGTCATGACGAGGACTGAAGCACAGTTTGTCGCAGTGGAATCATACCGCAAATTACTGCGACCATTGCACACCAAACTGCATTGTTCATTCAGTAGCTGCATTCTTTAGCTGATGTCACAAAACTGCTCACAGCTGATACTGACCAGTTCAGCTTATTACCAGTTCACCATGACTTTATTGTCCCTTTGACCGTCTCTGGCATCTGGCCCAAGCACCACACAGAGCCGCCACTTTATGATCTCTGCAGCGATTTTAAAGCATCAACATGAAGCACTAAACCAAATAAAACTACAGTGTCTCTATTTACATTTGCTAGCACTACTAATTACCGTAATCCGCAAAGGTAAAATAAATAACACTTGGCTGTTTTCTTTGTCACTGCGACATGTTAACATTATGTCACTAGATAAGCAAAAAGATACTTTTTTAGAACCACTGATAATGCAGAGAATAGTGTACAGAAGAGAGTTCATTTTATTGAGTGAGATAAGTAGTCACTGCAGAACAGTTCACCACGGTACTGCAGCAGCATCAGGCGCTATCAAACGGCTCATCTAAATTACACAGGAAAAAAGTTAAGTTACACCATGTGGCCGATAACTGACCGAGATGCGCACTGATACCGAGGGTGATACTGATCACGTGTTAGTGGCTATTTTGGCATATTTTGAAGGTCAAAAGAATTGGTGCTGCAGGCAAGCACTAGAAGGTATCTTCGTACGTCTTGAGAAACTGCCGCAACTCCATTCTGGAGTTCTTTCGATTCACCGGCTGAACATTCATGCCGTGGCCAGTGCTGATCTTCCTCTGTATCTCCTGCTTTGTGGCGACGGCGGCCACCAGCGCTGCGCCGCGCCCACTGCCGTCCTCGGACAGTTTAATGTCAAACTTGAAGGCAGGTTTTACCAGTTCATGCGTCTTCTTCTCCAGCAGGTGGTGAAAGTGAGGGTGATGTTTGTAGACAGAGCCATCGACGGCCACGGTAGTGTACGGGCGTTGCATTTTGTTGAGAATCGTCGAGACGGCCGCCGCCACCAGGTGGGCTGCTCGAGTTGAGATTCGACTGCAGATCTATTGTTTGTGGTACATTATCATTAGCATCGCTTATAATCACCGACTGGCACTTACCAATTTGACAATATCAAAGTCAGTGTCAGTGGCGTGTCGCAGATTCATCTCTGCCAGGACCTGTCGTGTGTACAGGTAGTCATCCTTTTCGTCACTCTCAATGGCAGAAATGTACGCAGTTTTAAATGATTTGGTCGTTCTCAGCTCCTCAGAGCTGATCCCATCAAAGAGGACTCCTTTCTCTGACAGTTCGACAAGAATGTGTCGCACTATCTCACCGAGGTACATTCCGGAGACCATCTTCTCAAAGCTGAAGATTAAGAATGATTTGTGATTGTCATTAGAAGGTTGGTTACCACAATTGACCAAAATGACTTACATCTGTTTTCCAGGTTCAGTAGAATTTTCATCCACTGCTTTATCCCAGTCAGTGCGCGCAAAGTTGAGCACTCGGTTTTCGCCGAATGCACCCAGCTCAGTGTTGACGATGACCTGGCTCACGTCGGTGAAGTCGTCGTTATTGTACAGTTCAACGTTCTCCAGTGTCTCCATGTAGCAGGCATTAGTGCCCGTGCCAATGATCAGTCCAACTCGGCACTCCTTGTTTTGCAGCGCACAGGAGACCATTGTGCCGGTGGTGTCATTGACAATGGCCATGACTTCCACTTCGATGTCCTGTGTAAGTGTAAGTGGTTAATTAAAGCATGTGTGTCCCTATGGTTCTATTTAGTGTCATACATCTCGCCTGTCGATGGCCTCTTTGAGCAGCTGTACAACATCTTCACCCTCCACGCCGGTGCACTTGAAACCTTTAGTCCAAGTGGTCAGACGAGCAGAGCTGA